AGCGGTTAGAGGGGCAGTGTTTTCTTATACAGAGTTTCTTACTTGCATTAATTTTACCTGTATTATCTTCATCAGGAAAACAAACTCAATGGAATTTAGAGATGTGTTTTTTTGGTTTTTGTTTTTAAATTTTATTTATTTACTTTTGGCTGTGTTGGGTCTTCCTTTCTGTGAGAGGGCTTTCTCTAGTTGCGGCGAGCGGGGGCCACTCTTCATCGCGGTGTGCGGGCCTGTCACTGTCGCGGCTTATCTTGTTGCGGAGCACAGGCTCCAGACGCGCAGGCTCAGTAGTTGTGGCCCAGGGGCCTAGTTGCTCCGCGGCGTGTGGGATCTTCCCAGACCAGGGCTCAAACCCGTGTCCCCTACATTGGCAGGCAGATTCTCAACCACTGCGTCACCAGGGAAGCCCATAGAGATGTGGTTTTATGCATTGGCCACACTCTTAAAATTGCCAATGGTGGTTGATTTTTGATATACTATGGCTCAATTTTATATTAAAGGGGAGCTATGGAGTTCTTGTGATGAAAGATGTATACACAACACAAAATACCAGTTTTGCTTTATGCTCTTGCCTTACAGGCCAAACTAACTGAAAAAAATGTAAAATTCCAAAGAAACCATTCTTTCCAGTGATTTCCTATCTCAGATATGTAACTCAGCTAGAATTGGGATTTTGGTGATAAAAACTGCATATGTTGGCATGAATGTCACATTTGGGTTGGGGAATGATTGTGTTTTTATAATGCTTCTTTTTGTTATTGCAGGGAAGGAGATTACGGCAGAAACTTTTATGGAGAAATTGGATAATGGTGCCTTGCTCTGTCAACTTGTAGAAACTGTGCAGGAGAAATTCAAAGAGAGCATGGATGCTAACAAGCCCGCCAAGGTAAAAGATCCCAAGGCAAAATCAGTCACTGTCAGATGGTGGATTACATTTGTAGTAGCTTATGAATTGAGTTTGAGGATTTTGTTGTGAATGGATGCTTTAAGTCCTCTATTAACAATGAAACAGAGAGGGTGCTTTTTAATTAGGTAACGTGTTATTTGCACTCTAATTACATAAATTACATAATCCTTTCAATAAGTCTAATTAAATAGAAGGTTATGGAAGTTGATGGTATTAATACAAAACAAATGCTGTATATAAACTGGTTGAATCTGATATATTGATTAAAATTTCAACAGAGAAATAACTTATGTCATCAGGCAACGAACAAACTCTGGCCAAGAAAGATTTACTGAATAGGTCTTTGTTTCCAGATAGATTAAGACTGAATACTGGAACAAAATATCTGGAGTGTGTAATATTTTGCTCTTTTTAAGTAAGTAGTATTAAGTACTTAAGTACTAAGTAACTTTGAACAAATTATTTTCTTTCTGACTTCTCATATTTCCTTTCTGCACATTGTTCTAATATTTTTCCTGGTTATTATAAACACATAATAAAAGTGTGGTGTTTGATATTTTTTGAAAGGAACAAGGTAGATGACACTTTTCTTAATTTAATTTTTTTTTACTTTTCTTAATTTTAGACAGAAGAAAAAGAGGTAAGAAAAAATGAGGTTAAAATATTGTTGAAGACAGCTTAAAGAAAAAGGAAAAGCTGTTAAACTTTCTGCAACTCTGGCAAAAAAAAGTAAAACTTATTATTTATGTCAAATTTCTTTATGATTACTGAGCTAAAATCTAAACAAAAGATAAAGCTCCCTGAAACAATGGGTTTCTTTTTATAGTGCTGTAGTTAGTTTGGGGATAATATTTTATATTGCTCTGTAAAGTATTACATAACATACAAAGCCTCTTCATTTTTTTTTCCATCTTAAAAGCAGGACAGGAATAATGACGCAGACATAGAGAATGGACTTGAGGACATGGGGAGGGGGAAGGGTAAACTGGGACGAAGTGAGAGAGTGGCATGGACATATATACACTACCAAATGTATAATAGATAGCTAGTGGGAAGCAGCTGCATAGTACAGGGAGATCCGCTCGGTGCTTTTCGTCCACCTAGAGGGGTGGGATAGGGAGGGTGGAAGGAAGACACAAGAGGGAGGGGATATGGGGATATATGTATGCATATAACTGATTCACTTTGTTATAAAGCAGAAACTAGCACACCATTGTCAAGCAATTATACTCCAATAGAGATGTTTAAAAAAATTTTTTAATTTAAAAATTAAAAAAATTAAAGAAGCTCTGTGAAAATGTTAATTAACTCATTGGTTCCCAAACCTTGCTGTGCAGAGGAATCACCTGAAGATCTTTAAAAACTATGAGGCCTGTGGCTCCTTTACCTGAACATTCTGATTTAATCCCTATGGAGAAGGACCTGGGGATTGGGATGTCTAAAAAGCTCTGCAGGTGAATCTGATGTGCAGCAAAGTTTGGGAACCATTGAGTTCATTTTTTTTTTTCCTGCATTTAGATGCAGACTAAATGATTTATGAATGATCAAGCAGCTAGTAAGTGACAGAGCAAGAACTTGACGTAGACGTCCTCTTTCCAAGTCTAATGCTCTCTCACTTTGGTTCACTGTGCGTGGCTTAGACACGAAGAGATCGCTTATGAAAATGCAGGCAATGTTAGGACTGTTAGGAAACTGATTTTTCTTCTGCTGTGTCCTCCATTGTAATATAACTGGCTTTTACTTCAGTTCACTAGTGAGAAAACATAATGCATAGTAGGAGGACAATTTGCATAGAAAATTCACTCTAAAATAATTAACAGAGGGGAAAAAAAGGGTTGTGCCCAGATTTTTGAAAGCATTATCTTAATAATGCTTGTATAGGTCCTGCAACCTCTGTGTTATTTATTGTTGAGGAAAGAGAGCTCATTGCCTCCATATTAAGATCTTGAATTCTTCCTAGTAACAAAGAATAAACAACTCTACTAAGGCACAGTTTTCTGATTTTGTTTATTTTGTCAACTTTTGCTTTTTAAAACAGAAGTTAAGATCCCTGAATAGAATTATAAGACTGTCAAGTGTAAGACAGACCACAAAGCACTAGTCTATTGCATAAAGGCTTTGACGTTGAACACATTTTGCTTGGGTTCTACTTTTATTGTCTATTGAGTGGATGTGTCTGAGCCTTAGTTTTCTTATCATTAAAATAGGATTAATAATTATGCATCTATGCCTGCCAAAGAGCATTACACAAAAAACTATTGATAAATATTACCTCTCTTATGCATTTGAGTTAAGAGATCCTGATGAGAATTTTAGATTAACTAGAGGAAACTAGAAGAAAAAAATAAGTACCTTGTAAAAGTTTATAGTTAATGTGATAGCTACTATATGCAAATATATGTATTGATACATTTGCCCCAAATCTCCATAGTAATATGTAATATTGAGGATAGGTATGAGTCAGGAGTTTGCTAGCTGTTTCCTTTGAAACATTTATTTCAAATTGTATTAGTTTTATAATAAAACTGTAAAACATAAAAAGAAACAAAAGAAATGTTCCTTTCATTTATTGACCCCAAGCTATTTGTTTAATTGAATAAAAAACTCAAGTAATATTTTGACTATGATAAATGTTTTAGTATAAAAATTCAACCATCATTATTAAACAAGTGTAGGTTTAAAAAACCCCACTATGACCTAACTTTCAATGCTCAAAAAATCAAATTTACTCTGAGTTAGAAGTTGACACAATTACTCTTGACTAAATTGCCTTCTGTGTCCTTGGCAAAATTCGTATATTTCACAACTTACTTCCAGTGCAGCTTAAATCAAAATAGCATGTGCTTAACTTTATGAAAAATGCAAAGACAGCTAGTTTTGCTTTTTGCATTTTATGAGAAATTTTTCAAAATATGAAAAGCCAAATGGCTAATATCTTCATGGCTATTATTGTTCATAACTATAATTTTCTCAAGAGTCATGGTCTTCAGTCCACCTTTGTCTATAAACAGAAATAGCTGTTATATGATATTCTACAATATTTTGTTATTATTAAATCTAAAAATAAACCAGAATAGATTTTCTAAGACCCACGTAGTTGGGTTTACGTTGACTATTTCCTTTAGGTAAAAAGGAGACTTTCAAATTGGAGGTTACAATATTAAGATCACAATATTGTTTGCTTACGTGTGTATGTAAGTAATTATTTTCCACCTGGGCGTTTTGAAATTTAGGGACAATAGTGGTGAAGATAGATGAGTTGGCCAATTTGCTGAATTAGTGAAACTGTTATGTTTACAAAGATGTTAAAACAATATTACTTAAAAAAAAATCAACGGCAAACTTGATCTCATCTAAAGTCACGTTATAGGAAGTCCTTTGTAATTCTTTTCCAGCTGCTTAAATCTCATATTCTTGTTCTCATAGCAATATTTTTATTTTTCCTGATTGATAGTTAATTTGGGGATTTTACAGCTGTGTAAATACTTTAGAGCGAATAAGTTATGTCTGGTATGTGTGAAGTATGTCTGTGTTAAGAGTGATTTAAACACTATTAATATTTGCAAGTAAATTTAATAAATATGATAGACAGTTTACATATTTAATATTTTATTTATAAATGCATGACTCATAGCCTATTCTGACTTGATAAAATACCCTGAATGAAAATAAATTATATCCTATGATTCTTTCTTTCCAAGCATCAATGGATCAATTTAAAAAATAGCCTATTTATGTTTTTAGCTTTAAGTAGTTAATCTTAGCCTGTGCACTTTCTCATTTTGCATGGAAGCAATGCAGAGATTTCACAGAGTTAGGCCATAGTTGGGTTACAAGTATTTGAGACCAGGGTGCAGCAATTTAATGTGTAGTTTGATTTTGATTACTTTATATGTACCATAATACAATCAATTTATTATAAATATAAACGTTAATATTCCCAGAGCTGAGGAACTTTAAAGGCAAAACTCTAAACTATTAATCTTTCCAATATCTTATTGGGATGAGAAAACCAAAACAAGTGATAAGTTCAAGGTTAGGTTTTATGCCTTTTGACCCTTAGTTACTTGGCGTCTCCAATCAAGACAAAATAACTGTTACATTGTTGTATGAACTTTCATATCCTGGTCTAGAGAGTTCACTTGCTATTGTATAATTGCTCTGTTCTTTTTCCCAATCATGACTTGCTGATTTGTGTACACGATTTTCCGAACCACTGGGGCATCAACATGGTGCAAAATACTCATAGGATTCAACCTCTTTTTTTCTCCTAACATTCCTGTTTGTCTCATTTATCTTAAGAGTCTCTGCCCCAGACATCAGAGTTTCCCTGGGTTCAGAGTTTCCTTTGACTTCAAAGAGCTCTGGGTGGTTAGATCAGGTTTGAAGTACATGAAGGGAAAAGAAAAAAAAAAAAGAAGTTCTGTTACTTAGTAGAATGCTACATTATGCTCTAAGGAAGGAACTGAACATTCACCGTCTAAATGTAGAATCCAGCCCTTGTTTGTGGGAAAGAACATCCTAGTCAGATAGAAGGCCCATAGTATGTTTGCCCATCAAGAAAACCTAGTTCTCTGAGCTCTGAGATAGCAATACCTCAGGATGTTGTGCCATCCAGGAATTAAATAAGACATAAAGATCAGAGTTTTTCCCCTCAAAAATCAATAGCACATTTTGTTGAGAGAACATCTTACCAAGATTAAATTCAGAGAAATCCAGAAATTTGTGTGTACTGCTGGTGTCTCTGACAGAACAAGAAAGTATGGTAGAAGTGGGGCTTCCCTGGTGGCGCAGTGCTTGAGAGTCCGCCTGCCGATGCAGGAGACGCGGGTTCGTGCCCCGTTTCGGGAGGATCCCACGTGCCGCGGAGCGGCTGGGCCCGTGAGCCATGGCCGCTGAGCCTGCGCGTCCGGAGCCTGTGCTCCGCAAATGGGAGAGGCCACAACAGTGAGAGGCCCGCATAACGCAAGGAAAAAAAA